ATGTATAACCCAATGCATGTTAACACGCTGAGTAAGTGTTCTTAACAGAAATATATTCTGAAAATAATCGGGGCAATGAGAAGAGTGGATCTTTTGCATTTTATATTTTTGCAAGTGTCTCTTGTCTGTCTCATTAGAAGACCTTTGCATTTTCATATTTTCTTCTCCATTTGGTCTGTTGTTCTGGTTGAAGTCTAATGAAATACACACTGCCTTACTATAACTATGCAGACACTGCCTACACAAATATGTTGAAGTAGTGTTTTCAGACAATTTGAAATATTCCACTTTGATACTACATTAAAACTATACAGGTGGTGTTTTGTATTTCTCCAAGGTTAATTGCAAAGTGAAACCTGAAACAGTATCATTGAATATTTCTTATTCTGTTACATTTCCATAGTGTTCTTGTAGAAATAAATTCTGGCCTTTTATCCAGGCAGAGGAAGAACAATCGGTACTTCAGGAATGGTGAGGTCAGAAGCTTATTATTCATGTATGAGGTCCCAGACCTGGGTAGCCCATAAGGTTTGAGCACCGGTTTAAAGACCAAGGGCATTTGGTTTGTTTCCAAAGCTTAGCTATTGTGCTCGCTTCGGCAGCACATATACCAAAGCTTAGCTATTGTAAACAGTGCTGCTATACATAGGGTGTGCAGGTGCTCTTTGGAATTGATGTTTCGGTGTCCTTTGGGTAAATACCTAGGAGTGGCAATTGCTGGATCTATGGAAGCTCTATGTTTAGTAGGTCCAGAAATCTCCACACAGCTCTCCATAGTGGTTGGACCAGTTTGCACTCCCACCAACAGTGCAGGAGAGTTCCTTTCTCCACATCCTCGCCAACATTTGTTGTTGCTAGTTTTTTTAATATGTGCCATTCTCACTGGTGTAAGATGGTATCTCATGGTAGTTTTGATTTGCATTTCCCTGATTACAAGTGATGTTCAACATTTTTTCATATGCCTGTTGGCCATTTGCATTTCCTTCAGAGATCAAGAAGGTGTGGTACATATACACCATGGAATATTACTCAGCATTCAAAAAAGATAAACACATGCAATTTGAAGCAACATGAATGGCGCTGGAAGGGATCATGCTCAGCGAAATAAGCAAGAAAGAAAAAGAAAACTACCGGATGGTCTCACTCATAGCAGGAATCTAGAAAACTTAAATAAGGGACCAGGAAAATGAATAACTATAAGAAAGTGAAAATCAAAATCAACAAACAACTATGAACCAGAGACACTCTATGGGGGTGGGGGGCGGGGAGGGGAGGGATTGGGGTCAAAATAAGGGGGTTCCAATTGTATGGGGAATATAAAAATAAAATTTATTTTAAAAAAATCAACAAAACAAAACAAAACAAAAAATAAAGACCAAGGGTTCCTTTTATACACAACTGTGTCCATATCTCTTACATTGATAGTGATGTGGTTTTTGTGGTCTGTGGGTTTAGAATGTGGGGTCCTTGGGGTCACTCTGGGAAAGGTTTCACCAGAGCTCCTATTTCAGCGACACATGGAGAATTCTCCAGGCGAGTTTCTCCACGGGACAGAGACACTAGTTATATTTAAAGGGAAGGTTTATTAGGGCAAGAGACAGAAGAGTAAGACACTTACATAGACACAGGTGGGCAGGAAGAGCTGCTCCGAAAGGGACAGGTTTGCTGAGAGAGGCCTGCGTGGTTGCAGGCGAGCGGCCTTGAGGAGAGCTGCCTCCACTGAGGGAAGTCAGTGAGGAGAAGCCTTGGCAGGTACAGGTCATGGCAGGCAGGGAGGCTGCTGCCCTGCGGAGAGAGGTATCTGTCACAGGTGGGCAGAGGGAGAGCTGCCCCAAGCTTGTGCAGACTGCACTGATATAGTCCTTTTCTGTTGGGAGGGGCCACTCCTTGTAAGCTTTAGGGTTAGTGGCTGATTTGGGATAACTTTGCAGAATCTGAAAAAGACCTGAAATTCCACAATGGGCTCAATCTCCATATCTTTACCTTTGGATGCACCCTGGGATACCTGCTTGGATGTTATGCTTTGTAATCTAGGCTTTGGCGCCAAAGGATCTTAGTTTTCACAACTGTGTAGTCTGTGCGGAAGGATCCTAGTTTCCACAACTGTGTTGATGGTTATGCTAATCTCTTCTACCCCCATCCTTGTGAGAGCCAGTGTAGGACCAGGGTGGCCACAGAGCAGGTTATTTATGATTCGGCAGATGGGGTAAAGGAGAGTCCTGGAGCCCGCATTGGTTTTATTAGGCTTTTATTGAGCTTTACATGTAGTGTGGCAAACAGGTACAGGGTAGGCAGGGGTGCCAGGGGGCCAGAAAGCCTGCAGGCCTCCTAGCCCCTGGCAAGTCTTCACTTTGGGCTTCTCTGGCTACTTTCTCCCCTTTTCTCTTCTGCTGCTCTCCTGCTTCTGCTTCTCTGGAGCCTATCTCAATACCCCTCCCACGGCCCACAGAAGTAAACCAGACAGCTTGCAACAATGTAACAACTGCAGGTGCCCCATCAGGCAAGGCAATCCTGATGGTGGAAGGGCAGAAAAGCCTGAAAACCATTTATCCTACAGCCAGGTTTCTGGTCTTGTGGTGCTTCCTTTCTTCAGTTTTTTTCATTCCTGTCCTCCATCAATAGCATCGTTTTCAGCAGTGCAGGGTCAGGACTGGATACAGTGCAGGTTTTCTGATCCCATGCAGACCGGGTAAAGGAGGAGTCAGAGTCCTCAGTGGGTTTTTTGCAGGTCTTTTATTGGGGTTCACCAGGCATATGGCAGGCAGGGGTGTTGGGGGGGCGGGACGCTGGCAGGCCTCCCAGCCCCCAGCAAATCCTCACTCTATCTGGGCTCTCTGGTGATCTCGGCTTCTCTTTCGGTTTCGGCTTCGGCTTCTACTGCTGCTGCTGGCATCCCCGTGACACCGCCCTTAAAAGCACAGTCTTAGCTCAGCTGAATCCCATCTACCTATGCCCACACCCTATTCCAGGTGCCCGCCATCAGGCATGCATTCAGGACAAGGATCCATCATCTATCCTGATGGCGGAAGGGCAGAAAAGCTTGATATTTTCTTTACCCTACAAGCAGGCACAACCATTTGCTGCAAAGTCCCCAGACAAGGGGCGCCAGGCAAAGGGGGCAAGATGAGGTATTTGAGGATGCCCTTTAAGAGACAGGCCAGCTGGTTTACTGCCCAACGTTGTAGATAAGAGTGCTCAGGCCCTGGCCATGCATCTTAGAAGGGAAAGAGCTGTGAGTAAGCAAACTTGTTAATTATGCCTGCATGGGAGTGTTCATTGTGTTACAGGGCAGGGAGAGGAGCACCCCAGGCCCCGCAAACCTGCCTGCTCTAAATAGGTTCTGTCATCGGCCATATCAAGACAAAACATTTAAGACTGTAATGGAAAGGAAATTGAATACAATTAGTAAACTATATAGAAAAGACAAAGAATATAGTTTCTAAATCCAGCACCCAAAGTTACCCGTCCCCTCATGGGTAAAAGACCACCCGAATGGGATTGGCCCAGAGCGAGGCCCAAAAGCCTGCCACAAATCTAAAGCATCTTTTAGTGGGGACCCACAGAAAAGGATCAGAAATAACCAGACAACCAGACAAGTCTGGAGGGAAAAGAGCAAAATCAAAATCAAGATAAAAGCTAACATTGCTCTCCTCCCCATGGGTCTCTCAACCACGTCTGTTTCAGGACCAAAAGGCAAACGCAGTTTCTTCACATGTCTCTCTGTTCCATGTGCCTCCTCCATGTCTCCTTCTGGCTCCATCCTGCTTCATTTCTTCTTCTGTCTCCTCTCCAGGTTCTTCTCTTCTCTTTAGCTCCACCCTCCTTTGGGTGGGGCGAGGGAACATTTTCCTGGGCACCACTCTATTACAATTGCACCTAGACTGGAAATTCTGCTGGAATCTTTATATTCATTTGCTCAATAATATATTTTCTCATCACTCTCTTGCATATTGGTTGGGTCTTGTGCTAATGTGTGATTTTTTTTTTAAAGTAATATATTGTTCCACTAAGTTATAAAGTCAAGGTCCATGCAGGAGGCCAAATGCAAAAACCCACCAGGCAGCCCACCTGGGAACAGCCCACCAGGCTTCACTGACCCCCACCATGGGTCCGTGAAGTCCGCCCGGGGCGCAATAAATTTTCCCTTCCTTTGAGAAAGTTTAGCCTGGCTCTCCTTTTCTTTACCAGGCCAAACCTTTCATAAAGCTCTTCAGTATTCATTACACTGGAATCAAATTATTTATTTTTTTAAAAGATTTATTTATTTATGCATACAAGAGCTGGAGAACAGACCAGAGGTGTGGGGGGTGAGAGGATTCACCAGACACAGAGTGGGGAACAGAACAGGCAGATTGACCAAAGGACACTGCTGAGGGTAGCAGTGGGCTAGTCAGGAGAGGTCTGCTATGCCATGTGGGTTGCTCCCTGGCTGGCCTGGGAATCCAGAGCAGATTGAGGCTGCAGAGGCTTCTGATTACCTCATAGGTTGCGTCTTAACCCCTTGCGCCACCAGGGAGGTCCCTGGAATCAAATT